AGCAAGTTACGCTGCTAGCACCAGTAGCCTGCCAGGCATGCCACGCATGCTAGCTAGCAAGCTGGCGCCTGCCAGCAAGTGGTGCGCTGGGCTGGTGCTTGCTGCCATGCTGCCCAGCAGCATCCCCTCGCAAGCCAGCCCCCAGCCACTGCCCCACGCACATTTGCCCCAAGCCTCCCCGCCACACAGCAGCCACTGAAGGCACACCCCTGTGCGCACCTTAGGCAGCCACATGTGGGCTGCTAGGCAGCTCGGCTAGCGTTGGTGGCGCTTGGGTGTTTTTGCCTCGATTTGCGTGCCATTTTCTCAGGATTTTAATCCCGATTTTTGTGTGACATAAAATTAATCTAAATTTATTTTAGAATTAATTTAAGGGCAAAAATGAAAATAAAATAAGTCCAACTTAATTAAATTCAATTTTAACGGTGCGCAAGCCTAAATCATCCAAAAATTCATTTTTGAAATAATTTAGATCTTCCTTTATGCTTAAAATTGAAATAGCTATGTCCATAATTAATTTACCCAATATGCAAATTAATAATGGTTTTGACAAATGGGAGTTGGAAAAATAAATTAACCATCTAATGATAAAATTTTTTCAACTTTCATACTTGTGTAAAATAACAAGATTACATCTTCCAATATGAAGATTAATCAAAATTTTACTCACAAGTATTTGAACTTCATGGATTTTAATCAACCAAAATAAAAAAAAATCCAAACTTTGTTCAATATGGAATTTAGGGTTAGAGTTCCAATCATTTAAACCTTTAAAGATTAGAACTTTAACATACTTGGGAACTTAAAATTACACATTCACATCAAACATTCACACATTATTGCAATTAATTTGCAAAATTGTTAAAAATCAAGTTTATGTGAAAAAGGCATATCAACTCAAGCACTAATTAAAACTCCATAATTATGCTTAAGGATATTTAAAAAAGCAGTAGATTAGGGATGCAATAATGCATTTAATCTTACCTTGTAATGCTTGCATTAATCAAGGCTTAAAAGATTTAAAATTTTCGTTGAAAAACAAAAAAACCCCAAAAAATTTGGGTTTCTGGTTTGAATTTGGCTTCTGGACAGCCCTTAAAGAGAGTTGATTATGTTTCAGAATGTCGATTCCACCCAAAAATCACTATTTTTGAGCCAAAATCTGGGTTCGACAGCCAAATCGATAAAATAAGAGTTTTAAAATTAATTAAAATGAGCTTCTAATCTAATTAGAAAAGCAAAACCAGAAATTAAATCTTACTTTAAAACACCTTAATTAATCAAAAATTGCAAAAATTAAAAGGAGCGTGGCTCCGATACCGCTGTTGGGTTTCGTAGTGACCCACACTATGCGGAAAGAAACCCGCCAAGACCCGCCCCCATAATAAGTGCAATTAACAAGCAAAACATAATTAAACACAAGAAAGGATAAAAAATTATACCTTTGACGCGTGCTTCGCTCAACTATGAGCTCTTACTTGAACCCCGAAAATACGAGGTCTCCAACGGGATCGTACCCTCGAACCCGACCCGAGCGTCCTAGGTCTCGAAGGTTAGTCGAGACCCGGACAAATAAAACTATGAGTTTTACGAATCAAGGTTTACTCAAAACAAGAGTTGCCTTTTAATTCCACTCAAGGTTGTGTTTTTCCCAATACCCATGCATTTGGTATTTATAGGGAAATGCACCCTTGATTTCCAATCTTCCACCAATGTGGGAGAGTTGGTAAAATCAATAATTTATTTAATTCCAAATTAAATAAATAATTAAGATCAATCACAACGCGACAAGTGGCATAATTATATGCTTATGAGTGATGCCCAAGGTTAGGTGGGGGGGACCATAGCCTTGCTCCCCAAGGCTTTTCTTGGTCCCCACACCCACACACAAACCGCCTCAAGGGGGGCTGTGCTGGCTGCCAGCTAGCACCAGCCAGCAGCCTCGCATCCCAGCCAGCCAGCGCGTGCTGGTGCTGGGTGATGCTTGGCGCTGGTGCTGCGTGCTAGTGCTGTGCTGTGCTAGCATGCTGGCACTGACCTAGCACTCCCACGCAATCCCTCGCACACACACGCTGCCACGCACAGCCATGCCAGCCAAGGCCCATGCACTTGCTAGCAGCGCACACCCAGCATACTCCTCGCCCACACGCATACGCACCTTATGCATGCGCACCAACACGCATACGCACCACACGCACTGCTAGCCTAGCCAGTGTGCCTAAGCACGCAAGGGCCTAGCATGCGTGCTGGGCGATGGTGCGAGGCATGCTATGGCCTGCGATGGTGCGAGGCATGCTATGGCCTGCGATGGTGCGAGGCACACTATGGCCTGTGATGGTGCTAGGAATGCATGCACACGCACATGCGCCAGTGCCCAGAACTGCGATGGCTGTGCTTGGTGCGTGTGGCCTGCCATGCGCTCCTAGGCATCATGCTAGGGCTGCGATGAGCTAGCCTAGCCTAGCTACGGCTAAGCTCGTACTTGTCGCTTGTGATTTTGCGACGCTCGGTCTCGACGCCCTAGGCTCGATATCCGACGTCTGTATTCGTAAAACTCTGTCGACTCATTAAATCCTTCGGATTAATTCGTCGTCTCGGATCGGTTGTTCGATTGGGTTCAACCCGAAAGGTTCAGTTAAGATTAAGCTGTAATATTAATTATACCTTAATATTACTGATCGGAAGCGGCCTCCACCTAGGCATTCCGATCACTTGACCTTACTGAAGAATTAGCTCTGTAATAATTCTGAAACCCTCTATCAGAATAATACACTTGTTGGAAGGACACCATTCCTTTCACGCAAGCGGTGCTTCCCTTGTTGCGCCAGCTAGCTCGGCATGCCGCAGCCTTGATAGCCATATTGCTCTAGCCCTTAGTTGGCTCGGCTATTCATAGGCTAGGGCTATATGTTACGACTTGTCGTTTGGCTGATTTTTCCGTCTTGTCGATTCCTAAGTTCGACTCGAATTTTGACGTTCGGTTTCGACGCTCTAAGATCATAATTCGATGTCTTTTGTTCGTAAATACTCTATTGACTCATTTAATCCTTCATATTAATTTGTCGTTTCGGTTCAGTTACACAATTGGGTGTGATCCGAAGGGTTCATTCAAGATTAAGCTGTAATATTAATTATTCAAGATTATTTAAAAGTTTATTAATAAAGATATATAATTTTTTGTTGAGGAAGATGTTCATACTTTATTATTAGCAATCTAATATTCTTTTTTCAATTACCTCATTTTTAAACATTTTTAGGCAACTATAAACGAAAATGTAAAACAATAAAAACGAATAATTGATATCTCAAAATATAAAAAATTCTAACATAGTTAGATATTCAGTACTTTCTAAAAAAAACAAGTTTATTCCCTACTTTAAAAGTGAAGAAGGGAAAAAAAATTGAGTGATCGACTATATGCAAAAAAAAAAAAAAAAAAAATGGCTACGGCTGGTGTGGTTCTAAGAGACCATCTTGGCAATCACATTGCTAGTCGTACGTATAAATTAGGCTATTGTCCTGCCTTTTTAGCGGGAGCCATAGCTCTCCGTAATGGATTGTTGCTAGCTAAGGATCACATATGTCCAATATTTTTTTTGAAGATGATAATCTAATGGTAATTAATATTTTGCAGGGTCATTTTAAGTGCCCTTGGAAGCTGCATTAGCTTATAGAAGGTATCTAGAAAATTTTGGAGACTTTTTCAGCCTTTCATTCCTAGCATATTTATCGTGAAGGAAATCGAGCAGCATATTATGTTGCTTCTCTCGGTTATTCAACCCTGATACACCAAGATTTTGACCCCTTCATGGATAGCAAAGTTTCTTACTTTTTATTGCTAGATAAATTAGGTTTCGATCTTGCGAGAAGACAAAACTGATCTCCCATTGTATCTTACCTTTATAAAAAAATGCAGAAAAAAACTAAAGAGACCGCTTATTGTAACAACCGTTCTCTTATGTATTAGTGATTGATTGTACGCAAGAAAAAAAAAAACAAAACAGATCGCTTCATATAGCAACCTTTCTTTTATATATCTTCAGTGTACTTTCCACATAATACATTAGAGACCAGTTGTGTTAAGGGGCTGGCAGGGTACGTTACATTTATTACATAAGAGACCATTCTCTTCAATTAACAATTTTTTTTTTTATTTTTTTTTCAGGAAATGGGGGTATAGTTGTACCTCTATGTACTCCTTGGATCCGCCACTAGTGATGGAGATCACATGCTAATTTTTCCATTAAAAGTTTATATATTATAATATGATTTTTAATGGTACTATTTATGCATAAATTTAGTACCATTAAATGCATATATAGTACCACTATATGCATATAAAGTACCATTGAATGTTTAGCGGTATTATTTGATCATCTAAATTATCCAATGATACTATTTTAAATTTAGAAAATGCATTTGTTCATGAATATACACAATTACATAAATACCCCTTGTTATGCACCAGAAAATATAGTGTTAACTCCCTTTAAAATGTCTCGAATAGAATTTGGGGAGTAAGTACAAATTTTTTCTTTTTGAAAATTTGGACCAAACTAAAGAGATTGAAAAAGAAAAAGGTAAGACAAGAGAGGAAAAGCAATAGTAACATAAAAAAAAAAAAAAAATAGGATAGCAAGCCGAATAACCAATGCAAAGGGTTAACCAAAGAGACCGAGTGCATCTCAGCACATAGCTGCTATGCATTTACAAAGTATATAGGAGGGCAAAAATGTAAATTTGGCAAGCTTCTAGAAAATAGCTAACTCTACAGTGGTACATTATAATATACCATTATGCATGTATAATGTACCATTAAAGTATAAGTTGTCATAATAATTGTTTTTATGTACTATTATGCATGTAGTGATACTTTTTACCATTCTATAGCCTAAATATTTTCCCCCAAAATACTTACCACCTGTCACATATTATGCATATAGTGGTACATTTTTTTTCATCATATAAACTTGCTAACAAATAGCAGCTATGCGCTAAGGGTTAACTAAAGAGATCATAAACCTAGTTTTTTCCTTTTTTTTTTTTTTTTTTTTTTTTTTTCTAATTTTAATAGCAATATGTGTGCACAAAAGTCACAGTGACGTACTATCATTTTGACGGTCAATTGGGACCCACCAAACCCTTTGGGATCTGTGTAAATTTTGGGTCCCACAGATCCTCCTCCCTCTCCTCCTCTTCTTCCTGATATTACCACCATTTGCTTTTCACCGTTATTTGACAGCGATATCTCTATAATTAAACTCTTTTTCTCTATTACAATGGTATTAGATTAGTAGTAATATAATTGGTACCTTACTTTCCTTTCAATTTACGTATCTACGACATCACTCTTTCGTTTCGTAAGCCACCGGCGACCTCTGTCCAAGATTTAATTATTTTTTTTTTCCCTTCTGCATTAATTAAAATCAGAATAAATTAAGGTGAGCTTAATTTTTTTTTTTTTTTTTTGGTCTAAAATTGGTTTTTCATTGCTGTTTATTTTTTTGGGTGCCCAACTGCTCAAGTATACGTGCTAAATTAAGCCCTTTTTGACAGATCTCTGCTTCTGATGTTTTAATTTGCTGAATTTTAAGGTTGTTAATGCTGTTACTCTTTATATTTTCTGTGAAAAATTGTTGCTTGCAAAAAAAATTAAAAAGATTAATTTGCAATTTTTGTTTATTAAATTGACAATTGTTGCTATTAATAAGACATTACAATTTCCCCCCCTTTTTTTTTGTTGTTATTTTGTGTTTATAAATGATATGAAAATTTTGTGAAAATAAATCATTACAATTGTGATGGCAACTGACGTAATAATCTGAAATGGCTGATACCTATTTTGGCTTTTGTGTTGATATATTCAATTTTATTTGTGGATGAAATTCGTTTCATCTGTTTTAATTTCTACTATCTATCATGTCTGTTACAGTAGACATTTCTATGATGGTTGGTCATTTTGTACGAGAGAGATTTGTTCGTGTAATGTCTGGAATGAACTTCACATATTCTATTAACTGAAGTTAACTGATTCCATCTTTTTATGATTGATTTTGTAATTTTCTTTGTTCTTTTTGATAATGCTATGATAATTTGTGGATTATGTAATCGCATTATGCAATCGCAGATTTGATGAGCCTTGTTTGATATGATTCTGCTGGTGTTTTACATCTTTTATGTGAAAATGTTATTGCCAGGGAGTAATACGGCACCTATGAGGTTAGAGGAGATCGACTTTTGCTGATACCATGCCTCCGAGAGCACTGTCAAGAAGTGAGAGTTCAGCATTATCTAATGACAATCAGCATGGCTTGGAGAACAGAAAGAATACAAGACAGCACCAAACGTGGAGGTTTGCTAGAGAGAAGCCTTTGTCTCCGCGAGCTAGTCAAGGTTTGAAGTTCAAAGATAAGGTCGTTAAAGTGGAGAACTCCATTCGTCCTCCACATTCAGATCTTCCTTTAGAGTTTGTAAAGGATGTTAATAATGAGTTTGTTGTCCGGACAAAGTTTTCTAACAATCAACAACTGCCTCAGGGGAGGAATGGTACGAGTAAGGAGGAGCTTGTCAAATACATGTCCAAAGTCCCTGGTTTTCTACAAAGAGGAGAAAAACTCCAAGATAATGCTTTTAATATTGGAGTTCTTGATTGGGGGCGTTTAGAGAAATGGACACACAAACATGAAAAAACTTTAGTCAGTGAAAGAAAATCTAGACATGGTGCTGGAAATGGCTCTTCATCTGCTATGGCAAATAATGATGCTTTATTTCGCTGCAGAGAGCAACCCAGTATTTCCAATAGTAATACAGCACACGCAGCTGATTTTTCAACAGTTGGTAAACGCCATTGTAGAAATAAATTGAACCACCCAGGGCTACAGACTTCATCAATAACAAATATTGACCAGAAGCAGGAAACCAGCAAGAATGACACAACTACGATACAAGATGATGTGAGTAAGTTTTCCAAATGCAAGGACAAGTATTCAAGTCACGATGATTGTGTGTTGATAGGGAAATCATTATCCAGCTCGAGTAACTATGATCATGAGATTTTAAAGCCCATGGGCAGGAAAGTCAGCAATTCAGATGGCGAAGCATTAAAGTTTTCAGACAACATTGGAGGACATAGAATTGATACTCCAGAGCAGTATATCTCTGGTAACCAGGAGAGCATTGTTCTTATTTTGCCCAAAGATTTCTCAGGTTCTGCAAGCTCAGGGGTGCATAATAGAGCATCGCTTGATGGCAAATCAGCTGCACATAACTGGGGTAGCTTTTCTGATATTTTCTCCGTCGATGAGATCCACCCTGATGAGTCACTTTCTGATATTACACATTCTTGCCCCATAAATCATATAGTTGAGACAGAAACGGAATTGGACATGAAGCTTGATATGTTGGTCAAAGCTCAGGGCCTTGAGAGTCCAGTCAACTCATCAGATATGCCTTCCCATGCAACTGAAAAATCAGCAACGAGTACTTCATTTGAAATGTCTGCAGATAGCTTGAGGCATTGGCGATTTAGCTTTGATATATCTAGGATGACAAAAAGCCTCAGCTTTAGGGAGAGATCAGTTCAACCTCCCATTAGCTCTACTTATGTGAGTGCCAAGTCTGGTCCTGCTAAACCTGGGTTTTCCAGTTATACTGAACCTCAAAACAGAAATAAAGCAAATCTGAGTGGCAGAGCAAAAGCTAGCCCTTTCAAAAGATTGCTTGATCCATTATTGAAGTCCAAGTTTGCTAACCAATTGAATGAAAAGTCAAATGACTTGAGAATGAAGCCGCCCATTCCTATACAAGTGTCTGAGAACGAAAAATGCGAGGCAACAACAATCAAAGCACTTTTGCATTTATCAGATAAGAGTGGGCTACCTTTGTTCAAGTTTGTGGTTGAAATCAATAATGAGATCTTTGCATCCACAGTGAAAAATTTTAGCACACTCGACAAGGATGACATTAGCTGGTTATACACTTTTTATTCTCTTAGTAGATTCAGAAAGAGGAGTGGAGGCTGGAAAAATCCAAGGGTTAAACCTTCTGGATTTGGGTACAATGTTGTAGGGAAAATGAAGGTTTCAGAACCTTATTTTCCATGTTGGTGCAACCAGGAATTCCGAGAAAAAAATATGGTCAAAGAGTCAGTCTTGTATAGTGTTGATATGAGCAAAGAAGATGCTGCAACTTCAGAATTCACGATAAGCAGGGAGCTGGCGGCGACAGTTGTAAACCTGCCAGGTACTGTTGGCAAATGCAGCAACTATGACTGGTTTCCTGACTTTGAACATGAGAAATTGGGCAATGTAGCTGTCATACTACCAGGTGCTGACCACAGCTTGCCTCGTGAAGGAGTGCCTTCATCTTTGATTAATCGCTGGAGAACTGGTGGGTTATGTGATTGTGGAGGTTGGGATATTGGTTGCAAATTGAGGATTCTGACAGATAAATGGCAACACTACAAGGATTTACAAGCTCCATGTGATCTTTATGATCAGGTGTGTTCTATTGTTCTTCATTTCTGCTGCCTCTGCCCTTGTTCTCTAATAAATCGTATATCTCATGCTCATTTTCTGATAAATGCTCCTTTTCTTCTCATTTAGGGGGATGCTAAGCAACGCAGACCATTCTTTAGCTTGATTCCTCTTCGAGATGGACTCTTTTCAGTGGAATTTGATGCCAAAATTTCTTCTTTGCAAGCATTTTCGATATCTGTTGCACTGATCAATAGTCTGAACCCGGCTCACTCCGCAAACACAACTGAGCAAGTTGAATCAAAACCGGAGTTTGGTAGGGTAAAGGCATCCATGGCTATTAGAAATGAAGGCCCTGAAAAGCATGCCCCGCATCCACCTCTGTCCCCTGTTGGCAGAGTGTAAGTCATACTAGCAGTAGAAGTAGACTCGCGAGGCAATTATGTTGCTTCAGAAATGAGTTGGGTAATAGAGATCAGTAAGTATCTTATCTTTGTATCCAATATAATGTTAAACCTTATTAGACATACCAGTAATAAAGGGTTATACATGTGCAGAAGATTTACCAAGCCCAAAATTTCATTTTAGATGATCACCAAAGCATAAAACTTCTCTTGCTTTTTTTATTTTTTTTTTTATTTTTTATTTTTTTTATTTTTTTTTTATTATTATTATTTTTTTTTAAATGATGCGTATTTCAATCGAAATTAGCAAGAAAATCAAAAGAGAAACTTTTTAAATTAAAATGAAGAATTCTATGCACTTTGTGGCTGAAAATTCATGGTATAAATCTCTTTTACTCACAAGCCAAGACAGTTTCTTACTAATCACAAATCATGTAGGAACTTAGGTACTATCTTGCGAAATTTCACGAAAAATATTCGTTCGCTCCTAATCAGGATTTACAAGCATAACACATAAATAACCACATAATTTATACCTTTGACTCGTGATTTCCACAAGCAATTGATTACGACAATTAGGAGAATAGAACCTCAAACGCGATTCCTCTACTTGGTACACAGGTTAGGATTGAGCCTGTACTAATGTTAATTAGTTGAGCACGAACAAGCTTTGAACCACCTTCTACGGAGGAGAGGGAAATTCGGCCACCACACAACCACCACTGCTTGGTGCTCAATTAATTGATGATTGATTAATCTCAAAAACCTAGGCAACTCTATTGGGCTATGGGCCACCACCCAAAGCTCCTCTCTTCTCTCCATGTGGCTAGCCATCCCCATGAAGGGCCTAACATTGGGTCTTTCTCTTTGTTCAATCCATTATCTCAAAATGTGATTTTGTAGAATCCATTCTATTGGGCTATGGGTTATTTGTCTTAACCAAAGACCATTGATCACATTAAACAACAGAACATGATGACCCAAAATAATGAACTAATTAGCTCCATAATTCGATCCATTAATATATCCAATAATTGCACTTGACGAAAACACAATTCCTTAAATCTCCCATTTATCTGAGACAAGTATGCAAACTTCAAATTTCTTAAGTCAATTAATGTCTAATTTGAAAATATGATTACATTACATGTCGAGATTATATGAATCTTCAAATCATTTCTTCAAACTTGAGTTCGAATTGTTAAACAAATGATTACTATGTAATCCATTTGAGCACGACCAATAATTTTCTCAATTCTTACTCTGATCATATCATATAGGACAACTTCATCCCATCTTGTGGAAACCAAAACTCCCACTCAAATTCTAGAGAAATCGAAAAGTACCCTTTATAGTTTCCTTTTATAGCATGTCGTTGGAGTACAATCACTATTAAACTAGTCATTGAGGAAAGATAGTGTTCCGCTCATGTCTAAGGAATCCACTAATATATTCGGAAGTTCTTTACCTTAACTTCAAGGTAAGGTAGGTCAAAGTGCAATATGTATCATTTCATACACATCCATGTGATTGACTGAACACCTTTATGTCCATATTGACATGAAATAACCAAAAAAACCAAGAAAAGAGGGGAAAAATCAACTAATAACAATTTCAAATCAACAAAACAAGATAAATCCATCTCAACAATCACCAAAATCCAAATAGGGGTTCTTAATCAAAGCCAACACAATGTAAATCTAGGATTAAGGTGTAACCACAAAGATTACAAATTAGCAATCACAAAGATAGCAAATATATAATCACAAAGATTATCGGTAGAGAGAAAAAGTCTCATGAGATTCAAAATTAAGCAAAAGTTGATCCCAAAAATAAGCTTAGCCCTATTTAAAGGCTTTACAAATAAACCCTAAAGTTCTTAAATTACAACCCTTGGATTACAAATGAAAGGCCAAGATTCAAAGATAGCAAAAATAAGCATAAAAGAAAGAAAATTTTGACTTTTACCTCCTCCAAAAAACCACTTATTGGCTTTTACCACCTACATAAAAAAAAGTCTTATTTTACCACTACATAAAAAAATGAAAGTTGGCTTTTACCACCAATCACCTCCAACTAATGGATTTCATACATAAATCCGTTAGTGGGGCCTACCATGTACATGTGTCACTATATTATTGTGTAAATTTTTTTTTAAAAATAAAAAATAATAATAATAAAAATTTTAAACGCACCAGCCACAGCCACGGATTCCGACCCCCTCCCACTAGATTCCGACCTCCTTTGCACCAATTTCCGAACTGAAAACCCTAGCCACCGAATTCCGACCACCGACCATAAAGCCCCCTCTGAATTCTGACCACTCCTAAAACCCTAGCCACCACCAAATTTAGCACTCCTAAAACCCTAGCCACCACCTAATTTCGACCACCTCTCTAGCCCACACCAAATTCCGACCCCTCCCTAGCCCCACACAAAATTCCGACCAATCGAGGTAAGTTGATTTCGTTGCCGGCTGGTTAACATGGAAGATCGGGGAAGATGAAGAGGAAACGTCAAAAAGGTGGGCCCTACTAACCCATTCATGGCAGAATCCGTTAGTTGGTGGTGAAATCCAATTTTTGAAAATTTTGTTGGTGGTAATATAAAACTTTTTTTATGTAGGCGGTAAAAGCCAATAAGTGGTTTTTATGGAGGTGGTAAAAGTCTAAATTTCCTAAGTCCGCTCGAAATAGGACCTTTGGAGCAGCCGCTCTAAAGGGTAGGAGCGGGCTCTCCTCGCTACTGCAAACTTCATTAAACGACCTTAGGAGCGGGCGCTCCTTAGACGGGGAGCGTGTTGGGTTTTGCGATATCCGACACCGCGCGGAAACAAAACTTGCAAAAGGATAAATACATAACATGCAATTAATGAAAGTGATTAGGGGATTTTTGCTCCCACCAATCGGAATGCGCCACGTGGGCCAATCAGGACCTGCCAAGTGTCCCCTAGTTGGAACTGTCAGGGCTTGCCACGTGGCACGCGCTTATTCGTCCACCTTGGACCTGTTATGTCACGACATGTGGCATACTCCATGCCTAATGGAGAAACCGGCCACCCAGGCCCAACTTCCGAGGGAAGCCCAATCGGCCCTAGGTTTACCTAAACCTAGGATGGGCACGTTTCCCAAGGTTATAAATACCTCCCTTAATCCTCATTAAGGGGGAGGACAAAAGAACAGAAACATTACGGAACACACTAATAACCGGCTGATCTCGCTAACAAAGCAGATTACCTACATTAAACACTCTCACCTAGAGAGACCTTATTACTTTAATTTCCGCATTAATTACTCCTTAATCAGGTACTAACTTGACCGTTGGAGGCGGAGCTCACAGGAGTCTCCGTTATTTTGTAGGTACAGGCGTCCGGTTCCAGTCTCGGAATTGTAACTCTCCCGCAGGACATCAGAAAACCCCGAAACATTTGGCGCCGTCTGTGGGGAGAGTACTTCAGAGATGGCATCCAAGTCTGTACCGACTCCTGAAGAGAGGCGTCCCCTAGACGACCCTCAAGTTCAGTCGGACCATGACACCGAAAGTGAATTTGAAGTTGAAACTCATACAGCTTCAGACGGGACCCTAAGGGCCCGACGTACCCGTCATACCGAAAGGAGGGAACGGGAGCATCTTCAAACAGGAAGCGAGCCAGCAGGCGCACCGCCTGTTCGGCAACAGCCGACTGATGGGTCTGCTCCCATCACAAGGAACGGATCATGATCATGAGGGACTTCAAGGGAGAGATTCAAGAGTTGATCAACAAGAAGCCGCCTGCTTCAGTCAAGGAGCAGTCGGCCAAGAAACCCTCCACTTCACTGAAGAGGAAGCCAGTTCAAGGGCGAGAGGCGACTCCTCATCCTAAATCTAGGAAGCGGGAGCCACCTGCCCTTGATTTCACAAAATTCCGTTATCCTACAGGAAATAGGAAACCGGTTCGTCATATTCAGGCGGACGGGTTAAAGCAAACATTCACAGATGCTCGGCTACTGCTAGAGCAGAAGAAGAGTGACCGATTGTCAGAGTCGGCTTCTACTTCAAACTTTCAAGACAGTTTGCGAAATGCCTCGATGAGGCATACTCAGTCGTACCATGAGAGTCAGTCAGGCGGCACCTCCCGTCAGTCCGGCTTTCATAGTGCCCAGGCGGTACCAAACTTACCATTTGTGCCGCAACAACAGTATTTTATGCAGCCACCTCCATTTGGTGGACCTACAGCAAAAAATGTCCAACCTATGGACTGGCAGCTACGGTTGCTTAGACTTGGTGAACAGCCGTCGGCCTTCTCCAAGGAAATTACTGAAGCCGGCCAAAGTGAAAAATGTACTAGTAGGCGCCTATGACGGCACTACTAACCCAGAAGACCATCTGATGGCATTCACCAACCTGATGTACCTTCAAGGGTTGGATGATCCCACTTGGTGCAAGTGTTTCCCAGCGACTCTCAAAGGAATCGCACAGCAATGGTTCGGCAACCTGCCGACTGGTTGTGTAAATAGCTTCAGGACGCTTGCTTACTTATTTGCCTCCAACTTCGCCATGAACATCCCTGCGAAGAAAACGACCCTTGATTTGGGAACAATTCAGCAGGGCGAGAAGGAGGGGCTTCGTTCTTACATCAGGCGGTTTAACCTGATGAGAATACAGATTCAAGGGTTACCGGATGAGGTAGCTTATACCGACTTTTTTAGAGGTCTCAAAGACGGGTCTACCTTCAAATTTGATTTGGTTCGAAAAAGGGTGGCGACTCTTCAAGAGGCCTTGATTGAAGCAGAAGCCTATATACAGGCGACTGATCTTTGTACGATAAAACAGTCGGACGGGAAAAGGTTCGACAAAAGAGAAGGACGACAGAAACAGTCGTCAAACAAAGATGAGAAAAGAAAAGAGGTCTGGGCGGCTGATTCCTCTAAACAGCCGGCCCAGAAAAAGAAAAAAGAATTCAAACCATACTCCCCAAAGTATGCGTTTAACAAGGATAACCAGTTTATCCTAAAAGAAATCAAGGGACGGATCTCAATTGAGAAGCCGGTCCCCATGAAGGGTTCTGCAAACAACCGGAACCAAGATAAAATCTGTGCTTATCATG